CATTCATTAGTCCCGTTGGTGGAGTGAATGTTTTACCCCAGGTGGTGGTGGTGTTCTTCGCCCGCTGGATGGTGAGATCCGGCGCTGACCGAAACATAGGATTCCCCTCGACTTATCCCCCCCTCGCGGGGCAGCCCTGCTGTCGAGACGTACTCTAATCTCCCGACGTGTGCGGTAGTGTAATTCATGTAAATGTGTTTGTGGGTTTGTGTGTGGAAGGGCAGAGGTTAGGACTAGGAAGAGGAAGGATACATTGCGCGTGGTACGTGACTGATTTGTGAGATTACGGCTCTGGCATTCGCTGCTTCAGCGGCAATGCTGTCTCTGAGCTAAATTCAGCTGGTCTATGCACTCCACGCTAAGGTACACTCGGATTAGTTAAGTGATCATTACCTCCGTTAGTATCGATCATGTATATTCCGGGAGATGGCGGTTTTCCACCCCTTGCTGGAACCAGAGATCCGGCGCCGGGATGTCCCCCTTCAGGTACCTCCGCCAGCGGGGCACCGCTCCAGCCGGGTCTGTGGTAGTGTCTTCCGGTATTTGTGGCAGTGTATGTGAGTGTGTAAGTGGAGAAGAGGGGACAAGGATGAAGAAGGGAAGATCGTGCGCGGTCCGTAGCTCGTTTCATAGGAGACAGCCCGCCTGTTCTGGAGAAACAACGTAAAATTTACTGATAAATCGGCCTCTTGAAGGTATCATCGGACCGTCGGGCGCTTGTCGCTCTGCTCTCTGCGACCGGTCGTAAGTTCCACAAGGACGAAGTGAGGAGAGAGCACCCGCGGGGTCGCGGTTGAGGTAGCTGCAGCATCACAGCTTCATTCTCACGAAAGCACTGCGCAACGCGCCTTCACAACAGCCAGCGTCACTGAGCGTGGGAAAGGAAGGATTTCGTGAGTCACCGCCGCGGGCAGACTTTCCGAGTGCACCTTTTGCTGGCATAGCACTAGTTTCATTAGGTGTGTTCATATACGCCTCGCAGGGGTGCTGCTGTGCCGTTTAGTGCTACTTGCCAAACATCTCACTACACATTCTTTGGCACTGACGACGTAGGTGTCGCCCAAAAGTGAACTACACCCGGTGGATGTTTCCAATCCTCCATCTGAGATGGTCCGTCCCATCCCTCCAGCCCGTCCCATCTCCTGCGGGGCGCATGCTAGCACACGAGAGCCGGTGTGGCGCTCGGTTCACCTTCCCGGTCTTCCCACTGCACACCTCCTTTGGCACTAACGACGTGAGTATCGCCGAGAAGCTCAAGTAATCGGGCTGATGCTTCCACTCCTCCCGAGACACCGAGTCTCTCCACTTTTCTGCTAGAAGTATGCTAGCTTGGACTGGAATGGAGAAGTTGTTTGTCATAGAGAATACCACTAGTGCTTCGGTAATTGTCGACAAATACCGAATCACGAAGTGAGATGAGAATATATCTGAGAATTTCCAAAGCACGAGTGTTTTTAATAGGACTATTTCACGAATGAAATTACGTTCAACAGAGTTCCAAAATGCCCCATATATTGGAAATAACTGAAAGCATGTTAAAATCAAACAGGTTATATTACAGTATATGTGCGGTTTATTTGCACAGCAACAAAGTGATCTATACATAGATAGATAGATAGATAGATTTAATAAAGTTCGCACATACCGCCTCCTAAAATAGATGAGCCGCAGCTTTTTATTAACGAGCAGGCAGGGGCGGTGAGAAAAATCAGATAGAAAAAGAGAAACTTTCTAAGATCACCGCCCTGATTGGGGAATTTTGCATGTACAGTAGTCTCGATAATTCGAGGCGGACGAAACCTGGCCTAGCTCGAATTAATAAAAACTCGAATAATCGAAAATGATTAATTTATTAAAATAAAAATATAAATACAACTTTTAAATTTCAAAGTGAATATTTCAATAAAAATTGTACTTGCATAATATTTTTACATTAATTGCTGAACAGTTAATTACATATTAAAGTAATTGTCAGTTTTTTTATTATTTTACGCGCGGCAATGTTACGCTATTTTCTGTACATCACATTGTCGGCTGGAATTTCCTCCGGATGTTGTTCTACGTGCCTCATAGCGACTTCTAGCGCTGCAAGACCCTCGTTGTGACTCACACGCGGTGTGGAATTCATTTAATGGAATTTATTTTTATTTATTTATTTTTTGGTAAGTCTGTTAGTGATTTAACTCAGATTTATGGGAGGCTCGAACGAGACAGGCTCGAACGAGACAGGCTCGAACGAGACAGGCTCGAACGAGACAGGCTCGAGCGAGACAGACTCGAACGAGACAGACTCGAACGAGACAGACTCGAACGAGACAGACTCGAACGAGACAGACTCTACTATATAGTTAAACACTATTGGTTTTGATTTGACGAGTGGAATAGTCGGCGCTAAACCTCACGCGCGACTGGCGTGCGTGGTATTGGCGGATTTTCAGAGGAGGGCCAGACCTCCCCACAAAATTGATTAACAACACTAAAAGATATACATTTTTAAACTTAAAAATTGTTAGAATTAACTGTCTAAAATTAACAAATGTTTGCGACTGGCGAGTATACATTTCAAAGAAGTCGTTTCTCTTGCTGCAAACATTGCGTTACAGCTGAAGATGAAGCCAAGCAGTTCTATGCGTTACACATAGGTAGCACCAACAAGATCTAAAATAACTGGGGTACAAGATACCGGCGGCCCGAGTTATCGTGCGCCTCCCTGTTGCCATGACAACGTCCCGCAACCAATACGCAAAGAGTAGTTTCGTTTTGTCCAGCTTTTCAATTAGTTTGTCACGGAGGCTCTCGCGCGTCTGGCCGCCTCCTGTGTGAAGGCGTGTTACGGTCGTAAGATAGTGGGTGCTCTGTGGATGAGATGGATCCATTATGTGACAAACACAGTATTTCAGTGGACACTATAAAAATATTTATTGGTCGAGAAATGGTGATCCTAAAAGTAGATAAATATTAAATCTATTTTTTAAAAATTGGAATGTCGCTAATAACAGTGCACCAGTAAACCAAAAGTCATTTCCTTTCAATGTCATATTATGATTCCCTGACCGGAATTAGCCCGGGCCTCCACAAGTTTCGAACCCACCGTCGCGCGTGCGGCAGGTGGGGCGCGCGCTGGAGGAGGCCGGCAGCGCGGGGGCGGTGCGCGCGCTGGCGCACGCCGCGCCCGACGTGGTGCGCGGGCCCAAGGGCGCCGAGGCGCTGCGCCGCGCCGCCTGGGACGGCCGCCGCGACGCCCTCGACGCCCTGCTCGACGCCGGCGTGCCCGTCAACGGGCAGGACGCGTGGGGCTGGGCGCCGCTGCACGTCGCCTCCACCAGGGTACGTACAAACAACAAACGCACACATTCAAAGGAACGCTGGAATATGTTGTGGAGAGTGCATACCCTAATATCATGGATTAAACACGTAGGCTTTTAGGAAAATCGTTGATGCATCCTACTAGGGTGAGTTAGCATATCATCAAGCAAAAGCATCTCCGTATCTTATATCGCATATCAGAATTGTTAAATAGATTGTAAAAGTACACAATATAATGAAAGACAAGATTCATCAATTGATTGTAAACTAGTAATCGTAGAAAGCATAAGGAGAAAAAATTGACTATATATTGAATTATGTATTGTTTTAATTTTAGAAGAAAATAATCACCTGAAGAAGAGTACACAAATTACTCGAAACGCGTAGTGAAGAACATTGTAATGTGAAGAGATATATCGTAAACAAGAACTAAATATTAAATGTATTCCAGACGAGAAATTGAAGATGATATGTCGTGAGTGAAAGTAAATTAAATTGTATTTTCTTCTAGAGTCGCTGTCTGTAAAACAAATTGGGTCTAAGGACATGAACTTCGGTCTTAAATGAGTATGTATTGTGTATATGTGGGAATGTAGATACTTGGGTATAATTGTATTTACATGAATTTCACAGTGTTCATTAATATTTCTCTGTTTATTCACGTGTCAATTTTATATGTTCGTTCATTTAAATCTTTATATAAGCACTAAAGAGGGGATAAAGTATTCACGAAACGTGAATTGCTGTGTTTTCATTTTCATATTCATTTTTATATTATAATATACGTTGTGGTTGATAGCTCCTCAATTACTATCATGCAATACCACAATCTCATCTAGCACCACGGAATTTATAATAATAATAATAATAATAATAATAATAAATAATAATAATAATAAATAATAATAATAAATAATAATAATAATAATAATTATTATTATTATTGTTTCGCGAATTGGACATCATTTGGTCACGCGATACTTGCATCCCACCGGGGCTCAGACGTAATCATCGGGGTAGGTACAAGTCACTATTCTGTAGTGGAAAATAAGCATTTCAAAACCGATTCCATCTTTATACCCCAGGGTTGTTAGCTCTGGGGATTGGATGATGAAATAGACCCACACACAACGCAATCATGCCCGAGGCGGAAATCGAAGCCGCGATCTTCTGGTCAGTGTCCGCTACGGCACTACTGCCTTAGCGGTCTCCGCCATAATATAATAATAATATATTAATTAATATAATAATAATATATTAATTAATATAATAAAATAATAATAATATAATAAAATAATATAATAAAATAATAATAATACAATAATAATATAATAAAATAATAATAATATAATAATAATATAATAATAATATTATAATAATAATATAATAATAATATTATAATAATAATATAATAATAATAATATAATAATAATAATATAATAATAATATAATATATGTTATTATTTATTATTATTATATTATAATCATCGCCATTCTTATTATCACCACCTTCATAATCATTATCGTTAACATTATAATAATAATCGTTATTATTAATATTATTATCATTGTAATTCTTGTTATCAATTGCGAATGTGTCATGATCACCTTTATAATCATTATTATTATTGTTATAATCGTTATTATTAATTTGATTATCATTGTAATTCTTGCTGTTATCGACGGGGTTGCAGGGGCACGCGTCGTGCGTGGCGGCGCTGCTGGCGCGCGGCGCGGACGCCGAGGCGCGCAACCGCGAGGGCGCGCGCGCGGCCGAGGTGGCGGGCAGCGCCGAGGCCGTTTGGGCGCTGGCCGAGGGCGCGCCGCGCGCGCTCAGCGGCGCCGCGGCCACGGGCGCCCTACGCCGCCTGGCGCGCGACGGCCGCCAGGAGGCCCTCGTCGCGCTGCTCGAGATGGGCGTCGACGCAGACGCCGCCAACCCGGAGGGCTGGAGGGTGCGTACTACTAACCGCTTGCGACGCGCCTCGCCCGCCTGGGAGGGTCGGTAGGGTTAGAGGCCCGCAGGTGGCTCAGAGAGTCAGCTGTTTTTTTGCAGTGCCTCTAGCACTGCAGAGGTCCTAGGGCACGAGTCTCAACGGTGGTAGAATTTTCGAATCTGGCTGTAGCTAGAGGCGAGTGCTGGCGGGAAGTCGAGTTCAGTCGCTGTCTGGAGAAGAATTCTTGCGTCTGCCTTGCCTGCTCTAATCGGTAGTTTTCCGTGGTTTCTCCGATGAACACCAGGCGAATGCCGGAGCACTACCCTACATGGGCAGTAACCAAACGGGCCATGTACTGCACGATCTTTGCTTTCTCTTCCTTGTCTTATCCTCTAGCCTTACACTTCCACTAACATGCACTACACTACCCCACATACCGAGAGATCAGTCGGGAATTATGAGTCCGTCCAAAAATTCGTGTTGACCATGCTGCCGCGGACGTGCCCCGTTCGTGGGAGATACCTGGTTGGGGAAAACCTCGCTAGGTGACAGGTACGTCAGTGAGTTCTCACCATCCAACAGGGAAAAACGTGCACTACACTAACGGGACTAATGACCTTAGCCGTCGACGCGCAAGGAATTACTAATAAATTAATTAATCAAGGCGGAGGAACGGCTGGGAGGGGGGCTCAGGGCGTCAACCAATGTCACTGCAGTGACTGACCGCGTGGTCCTAGGTGCGAGTCCTGAAGGGGGCTTCGACTCTGGGTACACTGCGAGGTCGAGTTCAGCCGCTGTCTGGAGGAGAATTCTACCGTCAGGCTGCTCTGGTCGCTAGTTTGCAGGGTGGTTCACTTAAGATATATCCATCACCATTGCAGTCATTGAAACGTGGATTTCCATAGAACGAATGTAAATGGCGCATAAGATGATCCTGTTTGTTTTAGATGTATCGATACAACGTAGATTTTTCTAAATGGTACAAAATAGATTTCTTTAGCGCCTGATAAGCATGAAGAGACGATTATGCCAACTATCATTGTGCCACTTCCTTTCTTTCTGTTTTGTTGAGATTACATTGCTCAGTTTACAAGAACGACTTTGCAAATGTTTGATGACAATTAAATAATTTAATTTGGTTTAAAATTGTATCTAACTAATTTTAACATTGAGATCGGTAGTATTCTATATTGAGATAGTATTCTATATTGTGCCACAACCGTTCGAGAAAACGCTCTTCGTGGCAATTCTGCTCGATTTCGTTGGCCCTGCGGGTGAGGCGGGGGTAGGGATTCGCGGTAACAGAATGCAATTCTCGCTCAACAATACTGAATCGTGGAACACGTGGTATCTCAGAGATATTGTTAGTAATGATTCTAGTTTTGGAGAAAATTTGTCATCATTCATTTTCTCAACTGTTTTTTTCACCTGTAGTGGATAAATCATAAAAAGATGAATATATTGATTATTCACTTGTTAATATTTCGAAAAGTAACCTTGTGAAAAATAGTTTATTTCTGACGTATTTGATATTGAATGCCGCCGGTGTATTGAAAATTTCCGTTAAAAAGATTGCGTCTTTGCAACTTCGTCGTTCCAGAGTCTATATGACTTTCTTTCTTTCTTTCCGTCTCTGTTTCTTTTTTTCCTTCTTCCTTTATTCCCGTCAGCTGAAGCAGCGAAATATTGGGAGAGCTACTCTGAAGAAAATTCTGCCCGGCATCTGTTAAAACGCCTGTTTGCACTTTGTCACTCTGAAAACGTTCAAAAAACCTCGACGTTTAGCTTTCTCAGCGTAATAATCATTGTGTTGAATGAAGAGAAATGCTAGCGTTACGTGGTTCTGGCGAACGGAACGCGTTCCCCTCGCAGCTTGTAATTTTAGTGGGCAGCGAGATTCACACGCTGCTCGCGCGTAAAGGCGGCTGCACAAATGCGGCATTCGGCGAACCTCGAGTAGTGTGGACGGGTTGCTTGCGAAGCGCCGTACATTCGGTATTCACCCTAACCACCGCGAGTCGGCCTTTAGGACACATCAAAAGGAGTGAACATTCGCTGAACACATCAGCTGTTCGGGATTGTGAACTGCTCGACGAATGCCGAATGCCGCCTTAAATCCGCTTCGGAACGTTAATACCAACTTGAAGTGATAATAATGCCTCTCTCATGGGCAGTCGACTCTCGCGTATTGCTTAGCTTCTACACATGAGCGAGGCGGGTCGCCACCTTCAACACTGCCGGGCTCTTCTGATTTTGAAACAATGTGTCCGGTGGCGTCTAACTAGAATAAGACATTCGCAGAATTTTAAACAATGCTGATTGGCTACTCAAAGTTCTTGCTTATAGATGTGGTTCTAGTGCCGAGCCTTAAAAAGATGCTGTGTTCTCTCGGATATTCTTACAAGCTGTTCCAGCATTCACAACCAATCGAAGATTCTCGGACTCGAAGAGGCATACATTGTTTTCGAAGGACGCGGCGATTTTCTGTGGGAAAATTATCTCCGGCCCAGCACGTTTGAAGTGTATGTTCTTTGCTCTTAATTAACCCCAAATAATTATCAAAATAATTTAATTCCCAGTATGACTCCAAATTTGAATTAATTTGGCCGCCTACGCCAACACAGTCTTTTCTTCTTTCCTCCGTTTTCCTCCATTTTTCTTTTTCCTTCTTTCCTCCATTTTTCTTTTTCCTTCTTTCCTCCATTTTTCTTTTTCCTTCTTTCCTCCTTTTTCTTTTTCCTTCTTTCCTCCTTTTTCTTTTTCCTTCTTTCCTCCATTTTTCTTTTTCCTTCTTTCCTCCGTTTTTCTTTTTCCTTCTTTCCTCCATTTCCTTTTTCCTTCTTTCCTCCATTTTCCTTTTCGCTTTTCTTTTTCCTCTTTCCATTTTTTTTCCTTTTTCCTTCTTTTTTCCTTCCTCCATTTTCTTTTTCCTTCTTCCTCCATTTTTTTTTCCTTCTTTCCTCCCATTTTCTTTTTCCTTCTTTCCTCACTTGTTTCTTTTTCCCTTCTTTCCGTCCATTTTCTCTTTTCCTTCTTCCTCCATTTCTTTTTCCTTCTTTCCTCCCATTTTCTTTTTTCCTTCTTTCCTCCATTTTCTTTTTTTCCTTCTTTCCTCCATTTTCTTTTTCCTTCTTTCCTCCATTTTCTTTTTCCTTCTTTCCTCCATTGTTTCTTTTTCCTTCTTTCTCCATTTTCTTTTTCCTTTCTTTTTCCTTTTTCCTTTCCTTTTTAGCTTTTTCTTTTCTTCTTCTTCATTTCGCTTGTCGGCTGCAGGCGCTGCACTACGCGTCCAAGGAGGGCCACGCCGGGTGCGTGGCGGTGCTGCTGCAGCGCGGCGCCGACAAGGACGCGCAGACGGCCTTCGGCTACACGCCGCTGCACTTCGCCGCGTGGAACGGGCGCGCCGACTGCGTGCGCGCGCTGCGCCAGGCCGGCGCCCGCCACGCGCCGCGCAGCCGCTCGGGCAAGACGCCGCTCGACCTGGCGCCCTCCGAGGAGGTGCGCGCGTTGCTGGCGCACGAGCCCTCCTAACCGCGAAGGGTGGACGCGGGTGCGCTCTGCCCCGCCTCTGCACCGATTAGGGCCCCTTCCCACGGCGCGGCCGCAGCGCACCGCGCAGCAGCACGGCGCGTAGCAGAGCATTGGTTTGAATGGAGGCCTTCCCACGTGCAGCAGGTGGCGGCTGCTGCGGCAGCCAACGCCAAACTCCAGCTACGAGAAGCGGAGGAGGGGCCCCGCGCCACCTCTAGCAGAACACAGCTTTAAATGGGAGCGTTCCCACAGCGCCGCGGCCGCAGCGTTCTACCTGCTCCGGTCCCTTTGTTCGTCGTCGCCGGAGGGTCGACGAAACCTACCCCTCCAGACCCCACCCCCTTCCACGGCGGGCGGCGGTGCGGCCGTGGCTCCGGCGGTGGCTGCGTCGGAAGAGCTCTGCACCTTGAAGGAAGCGCGCCGCGGTCGCGCCGTGGGAAGCCGGCCTAAGGGTCGTCCTGCGCAGCGCCAGATACGTCACGAACCACGTGACCACAACAAGCTCCTCGTCCTCGCGCCCTCCGAGGAGGTGCGCGGTATTGCTGGCGCACGAGCACTCCGAATCAGGGGTGCAAGGACATGCACTTCGATTAAACACGAAGTCCTTTCAAGGTCACGTGCTGGCAGAAGAAAGGGACCACTGTCATCCAATCGGGAGCTTCAATACCAAAAATTTTAATCGTAACAAACCTCGCGATTGGATGACAGTGGCCCTCTCTCCTGCCAGCTCGTGATCTTGAAAGGACTTCATGTTGTAATCTGAGTATAGCACCGATTTTTGCTCGTTGTGCCTCCAGCGCGTCAAGAACCACGTGACCCCAACACTGGCCTTTCATTGGGAAAACCACGTCCGACGCAGGCCGCCATGCGAAATGGCAAGAAAGTAGTGCCAGTGAGGAACATTTTGATAGTGCAATTTTCAACGGTGGGCGAAAAAAGGGGTGCATTTCAATTAAAACATGTAATTAAAAAAACATTTGTACATTTCAGAGACTTGTACGAAGGTGGTGATAGTTATTTGGTATCCGAGTTTAAAATTCCCGCTAATATTGTAATGCAAACTAGTGCATCGACCGCACGACAGCACCAGGGATGTGATATCGATATCGATGTTTTCAAAACTTCGAAGTTTTATAGGAACATCGATTTATTAAATCCGATTCGACTTTTTTTTAGAGGATAAAAAAGTCGCGTAATCACAAGTTTAAAAATTTGAAATAACAGATGCAAGATGTGTATATGATATCCCTTTCTTCCCTTACCATTCCACAAGGAATTGAGAAATCTCTGACCCCTTACTGGCATTGAGCTCTCAGTTAAGCATTGAATTGAATACACCTTATCGATATTCTCCAATTCTGGCTTTATTTAGTTATTATTTATACTTTTGTTTTGCCAGTTAAAAATTAATTATAAGTTAATGAATGTGGGCACGGTGGTGTTAAAGTTTGCGAATATTTACTGTTAGAAGTTAAACCCGTTTAAACATGGTTTTGTGGTGACATCGATGTTTACAAACATCAATGTTGTTTACAGATGTTTGCGAATGATGTCAATGATGTTTACAAACCTGATGTTACGTAGTCGATGTCGCATCCCTACTCCTAACAAAGAGCCCTGGAAGATGTGGACGGGGCGCCCGGCCTGTCCGCAGCAGCAGGGGCCACACTAGTTTCAATCGAGCCTAAAACCTGGCCAGAATTGCAAATGCCAATTCGAATATTATTACGAAATATCAAAATTCAAAATGGCGGATTAAATCTTTTAAAAACAAACTAAAGTACTTAAAAATATACACATGGGGTTCTGGAGGTCATTGACTTCGAATATCATTATGGAATTTTAAAATTCAAAATGGCTAACTGACTCATAATGATCCCGATAAGCGTAGATAGTATACAATGGTTCTCGAGATCGCTAATTTCGAATATCGAATAAAATATCAAAATTAAAACTTGAAAATGAAGCAAATGTGTGTTGGAATATGGTTATATGTTAAGTACTATTTTCGAAGTCATTGAATACAAATATTGCAATGAAAATAAAAACGGCTACATTAAAGGAAGATGCTGTTCTTGGCGATGAGTTTCGCGAATTAAAAAGTCATTCACACTACCTGGAATAATTGCAAGGGACAAAGACTGATACCAGATGCAGGCTGCGTTAACAAGCCTCAAATGAGTGCATAAAAGTCACCCATAGGCGTGTTAGGTAAATCTGTTGAGATTTGTAGTCCACAAAAATACGGAATTATTAATGAAAAAATCACTAGTTCTACAGAATGACATAGCCTCTCTTGTATGTCTTAGATTGAATGTCCCTTATTAGACGGGACTCTTTAATTTATGTTCTACCTTCTCAACCGCCAGCTATTGGCGCTAAACACATTTTTTACGTTTTCTCAATTTTTCGGATCTCTAATAGAATTTTTAAGAAACATAATAATCCAGAAGGGTAAAAACTGTTACCAAGTGCATATTTTCATTGAAAAGTGTAGAGCCATTTTTATGAAAATGTTTTTGGGTTTCTGAAAATGCGTATTTTAAAGCATATTGTAAGCCAAAACTTCAGATTTTTGGAGAAACTTCATAAAAAATTATTTGAGGCAATTGTACTAAAAATGCTATAATCTATATGAAATGCCAGTAATGTAAATATAGACGTCGTGGGAGACATTAAAAAATAGTTTAATTTTTGAAAAAACAAAATAATACACCAAAGTGGCATTTATGTCATGTTATTCAGCCCATTTAGCACTATCCGTACTAAGAATGTAAAGAAAAAATCTTAAGTATCGTTGGAGAAAATGGTATTCGAAAATTTACGGAACCACACCTCCGGGAAATCTAGAGTTAAATGTTACTATGTAGCATTGCAGTAAAGTCGCGATAAAACAAAAAGATGCAGATATATGAAACTAAATGTATGTTATTCTGGTTAAGGGCATTCTACTTGATAAATTTTTAAAAAATGATTGAGGCAGGATTACGCAGGACAAAAAATATAACATAAAATTAACATAACTGTTACGCTCCATGGGTTAAATTCAGCCGCCTCATCTATAGAAACAGTCACTTTTCCTTAAAAATATACTTAAAAGCCAAAAGTCTTCTATTCGGAAATACAAAAAGAATCAAGAAACAAATTTTTAAACTTCTTTTTTTTTTAATTTCGCGAATATGTCGACAAGAATCAACGA